CCCATGGGGAAAAACCAAAACTCATCTGCAAACTGAGATCTGCACATGGCAAGGAAACAACGGCAACCAGAACTAAGTACACAGACAGCTGGGGAGCAGGCAGTCGCTCCGCACCTCCACCAGATATCCGACAGAAACGCTACAGGCCCGGGGAACGGACGCAGGACAGACACGGAGGGAAAACCCGAATGGAAAAACCGGGGGATCAGCAGCTGTAGAAGCAAGGCGTGGGTTGGAAACCCACGTGAATTATAAATAAATAAATAAGTTATCCTACCGGCTAGAACTCTTTCTTTAAAAAACAAGAACAAAAATTCATGAAAATAAATTAAAACCAAAAACTGGAAAAAAAAGAACAAAAGGTAAAATGTTATCACTATTAACAACTGTACATCAAGCTTTGCTCCTATATAACTTTGTACACATTTACAGCTCTGTTGGTTTGCATTGTTTGTGCATTCGTGAGGGCACAAGGAAGCAAAGAACTCCAGAAAGTCCACGTGAGATGGAGGCACGGGAGGTGAGGCATCGCCCGCTTGGCTCCCAAGTGTCTTCTGACCTGTTTTCTTATTGAAAAGGGAAAAGGAGCTATATACCCAGGCGAGTCTTGGAAAAGCAGCAGTGTAGGAAAATTCAAGTATTTCCTCCAGCACAGCCCAGATCACAACTGAAGGCACTCGAGCACGGTGACAGCGGAGAAGAGACAGTCATTCGGCTGCGGTACCTGCCCTCCTCCCTGCCCCCAAAATCAGTTTTCCCCCGTTGAAGCTTTTCTCGCAATAAGGTCTCTGATCCTCTCGCAGTCCTGAATTCAGTAGGTCAAGAAGACACTTAGGAGCCTCCAAAAACAGAACCAAAAATCAAAACAAGAAAAAATTTACTAGCAAAACATCAAATGAGACAGGGTCATTCAGATGGGAGTCCAGGACAGCTGGGTTGGATGGTGGCCACCAGCACTTAGAAGACCAGGTCTCCAGCCCAGCTCCAGGACGAGACGTGCGTGTTCCCATCTGGTGATCCCTGCTCAGTGCTACAGTCACGAGGAAAAAAAAAATCTGGTTTTCTTTGCTTCTTATGGCCAGGAGATGCGTGGAGCTGTTACTTGCCAGGCTCCTGGATCAAACTGTGCAGGCAGATCTCTGCCGACTCATGGGGCAGGTGAAGGCCTTGCACCCAAGTATGGTTGAAAATGTCTTCCAGAGATGGCCTGTCCAAGGGGCACAGGGACAAACACCAGCCGATGAGGTGCTGGCACTCTGAGGAGAGAAACCAGAAAATGCCGGTCAGTTGTCGAAGGCTCCCATCCACCTTGTACCACCGTCCGCAGTGCCCAGGCCATGCTGGGTGTGCTCAGAGCTGCACCCAAACCTCCAAATCCATTATTCATTTTGGAGGAGAGCAGGACGGCAGGATGTGTGCCACCTCCTCCAGCTAACCACGGGAGATCGATCTCCTCCACAGCGGTAAGAGCCGGATGCTCCTGTGCCCGGTGCCACCTCCCAAAACCCGTTACCCCCCCTGCTGCTGTGAAGCCGGGTACCCACCTAGAGAGACCCGCCGTCGGAAGAAGAGCTTCGCCCGCATGATGTCCTCGTCCTGCTCGAAGGGGACGTCCCCGCAGACCATGTTGTAGAGCAGCACACCCAGGGACCAGATTGTCGCCGAACGGCCGTGGTACCGCTGGTAGCGGACCCACTCCGGTGGGCTGTACACTCGTGTTCCTAAGGGATACAGGCAGAGCTCGTCAGGCGGATGCTGCCCACTCCTGGATCCTCACCCCGGCATCCCTGGGGATGCGGG